AAACAACTTAACATTTCAAAGCTACAAAAATAAACCCCTGTCACATATGTTTATAATATAAGGTCTAATATTCATTGATATTTACCGAAAAAATGGCTCTACTGTATAAATGCTGATTTATTTATATTAAAAATAAGGAACAGCAAACCCTTGTGGCAAAAGTTCAACAAGAAGTAGGAAGGCGGCAAGAGAAAGGAAAGGAAAAAGGACACAACGAAACAAAAGAAGAAGAAGAGCAAGAAACAAAAGTACGACGTCGAGTAGAAGAAGCAGAAGGATGCCGGTAGGAGGAAAAGAAGAAAGAGCAGCTGACGGAGAAAAAGCAAAACGAGGAAAACAAGAAGAAAAAGAAGGAGATGAACTGAAAATAGATGAATAAGACGACGACTATAAAGAATATACCAGAATTTGACAGAACCGGTAGCAGCATTAGAAAAAAAATAGACCATTTACTTTTGTTTATCGTAAATTTGAAAGTGCACTTGTCAACAAGCTAAGGAACCTTGAAGATTAGAAAACTGATTAGACAATATTTATGAGTATTAAAAAAATAAAGGAAATCTTTTAAAAAGGTCAGAAAGCTTTAGATTTCAATGCATTTTAGTGATCGACAAAGGCAAGTGGCTAAATGAGCCCGCGATCAACATGCAGTAATCAAAGTTCTTTCCCATGCATTGGAAATTTAAATCTCGTTTACTCCTTATAAAAAGATTGTAAACATGTTCTTATTTTACGTTACTTAGTTATTAAATGCAATAAAGAGTTTAGATATATGAATTCAAAGCAAAGCAATTTACACGCTACTCACCAACAATAAGCGACATCGACGAAGCGACGATTAAGACCCACGAAGGAATCCATGACGAGCCTCTTGTGATCATATTTATAAAACTGTACATGAGATTTTTAAATTATTTGCAAAAAMAGTCCCACTTCACAATAGCTTCAACATCGCTCTAMTTTATCAWAGGATTTSTGTTGTTYTATGATCTCACTGATGGACTATTCCGACCTGTTATTCCACACAAAGAACCAATCAAACATCGACAAAATGTTTACGTTATTGTCTCTAATGTCTTTCAAAAAACTCCAAGCTTTTTTAAAAATCCAGACACTAAAGTCAATATTTGAAGGCGCAATGCCCGAAAAGTTTCCCTTTGACCAAGCGTTCAGCCGTGMATAGAGGTTTGAATGTTTCTATTAGCAACAGGTGGCTGGGAYGTTTTCATTGTTCATTTTATGCAAGAATAGCTTTTGGTCTTGTTATCATGAAATATTCAAAACAACGTACAGCGGGTTTCAAAAATTACCCACAAGCAATTTCAGGAGTAAGGTTACTATAACGACGTGCATCCACTAAACAAACAGAAATGAGGTCGAAAAATGAAAATAAAAAATACTTTAGCTTGATATATAACAGATATACTTCAATCTGAAAAAATAATGTCAAAGAGAAACATAGTTTGCCACTCAGGGCCGGGTTGTTCAAAGCCCGATTAGCGTTAATCCCGAGCTGGCTTCACCCTTAGAAAACCTATGGAGTTAACCCTCGATTAACGCTAATCGGGCTTTGAACAACCCGGCCCAGAGTTCGCTAGTTATTTATATCGGAGCTAGACATGATACTTCATTCCCGGGAATTCAATCATCTGACCTTAATCAGACCACTGGATTGGATGATTACCTCATAAATAATTAATGAGTTTTAGAATAGAGATTCAGTGATCAATATGAGATAAGAGGTTAAATGATCCCTTATCCACAATATATACAGGAATTAAAGTACTTCCCTATGCCTTTGAACTTCCTCTAGTAATTTACTTATGAAATGATTGGAAATAAAATATTTGTATTTTCTGTCCTATTTACTGATTTGGGAAAATTCTGTTCCCTAACTTATATCTTTACGTCGATGGACCCACTAAGCGCAGCGAGAAGGTTCACTTCTTTAGTTGTTTTGAACATTTTATGACGTCAAGAGTGTGTAAATAAGAGGACAAACAATTCAAAACCGTGAGCAGTTTGTTAAATTTCACGCACGTTTTTGAGTTGTACGTCCTGTTATTGACACACTCTTGACGAAACAGTCGTGTAAAAAGTTTAATTTAACACCGTAAAAAAGTAGGTGAAATAACTTACTAACGTTTTGGACGTTTTAAATTCTTCCTCTCTTTACTTCGACGAAGGATTAGCGTCCGAAGCGTCAGTAAGTTGTTTCAACTACTTTTTTACGGTGTTTTATTTATCTTTTTGCACAACTGTT